CGAGCGTGAAAATTATGGACTTACAACGATTTAGTGTCTGAAAAAGTAGCACCTCAAATTCCAAACAGCTTTAGTTGGATAACTAGTGTCGAGGTTCTTAAATAACTGAGATACATCTTGATTAGCTACCATCTTGAAGTCTTAACCAAGGATTTATAGTATCCGCTGATACAGAACCCTATTTCCTTTACCTTCAGTGAATGATGTTCTTGGGAAAACGTTGATTATCTCGATATCCACAGTCGATAGCCTGGTTAAGTAGTAAGACTGAAAGGCTTACGAGCACACTGAATATAAAATCATGTTAGTTTACACCTTATTATCTACATCGCAAGGTGCCACTTTACAACTAGACAAGGGAGACCTAAATTTAGAATTGGTACAACAATTATAAAGTCTGGGAGAAAACATAGGTCAATAATAACATGGTGGTTTGGGGTCCCAGAAAGTAATGTATGGGTTTCAACTTCAAAGCACATTACTTAGTCTTAACTGATTAGTACAGCGTTCGTGAGTGGTTCAATAAAATAGGCTTTACCCACTTAAACGGTAGAGGCTAACAGTCAGGAACTCGATGAACTGAGACCAAGGTTAAGATTCCTATAGTCTATGTTAGCAATAACTAACAAACCATGTCACAGAAGATGACAGGAGGTAAGACACCGTAACTGCAGTAGTCCCTATTTATAATGCCACTGATCGGCGTATTAACCTTACCAAGTAATCCGTGTCTACAACCAATACCATTCACAAGCAAATACTTCTTGTAACTGTTGACTTGACCTTAACATATTATATGGATTAAAAATAAGAGGTGAAAATTTTCATCAGACCACACGTAGTGGGAATAATAGTTTGTCTCATTAAGCTTTTTGTTAGCCTTACATAGCCCTACCCATTTCCACTTCCAACGTCAGATCGCCGGAGAGCTCTCAATATTAAAATTATAAAATTATTTTTCGAGGAACATACCTCGCAAAGGGATATCCTTCTGAATATTTGTTTGTTAAGCATGAACCAAGGCATTCAAGAATACTTTGTGATACAAAGTTCTGAAAATGCATACAGATGGGCCAAGTAACATACTTCCGAAGCAATTAATTCGAGTGATGATCGCTGTCTGGTTTTTTCTTTTCGTATCAATTCCCACAACTCAACGTCTTTAATTTCCAACATCCTTGTACCATATTTCGCTGACGGGCATAAAGTGGGACTAGTTGCTTTCAAGCAACATTGGATATGATACCATAAGCGCTTATTAACCTTCATCGACGGAGTTGGTCAAGTGTCTGTTCACGTCTAACCTGGCAGTACTTTAGGTACTATAGGAGTGCAGAGTTGTGTATGAGGAAAGCTGAAAATGGGAAATACAGGAGGAAAAGTAAACCGAAGACTCAGTAAACGCATAAAATGCACTCAATTTTAATAAGGAAACAAAAAATTCAGTAGCATAACAAGCCCAATTGGGCTTGTTATGCTACTGATTTAAAATTTAGGACAACTTGGAATTTGGAACTAGGAGGGGCTGGGTATAAACTCCATGTTGTCGACTCATTTAAGTGTATCGTAGTCAATTAGTAAGGTTTCTTTTTCGATTATCTGGTCACTCAATTCTAAACACCTTGGAATAATTTATATCGGTGAGACTATAATTTTGGACGACCTTTGGGCGATGCAAAATGGTTCAAATTGTTGTGGACGGAATAGAAGAAGCTTTCGCTTAACAGGCTTGCGTGTCTAGTAGCAGAAGATCACCAATACCTCCAGGCAAGAACCTAGGTATGTTAACGATAAAAGAGAAAAAAAATAAATTGGTAAATCATAGTAAGATACTATCCTTAGTCCTTATAAGAATAGATCAAGTCGCCTCTTAAAGGACTCCTGGGAAGTTGCTTGGACTAGCTCAGTTGGCAGCGAATTCCAGCATTTGACAACTCTTAAGGAGTAGAAGTTGTGCCTGCAGTCCGTTCTACTATGTTGTATCTCTAATTTCTGGGTATCACCCCTTAGGTTAGTGTTGAGACTAAGCTTAAGTAGGTGTTTAAGAGGATGTCCAGGAGTGTTAAGGATACTGTAAGCCATTAGGTCACCTCTAAGACGCCTATACTCTAATGGGTAAAGGTCGAGTGATTGGAGGCGCTCATTGTAAGGTTTAAATTTGAGTCCCCGAAGTGATTTCGTGGCTCGCCGTTGGATACGCTCCAGAGTGTCCTTATCCTTTTGGAGTGTAGGAGGAAATACTATGTTTCCGTACTCTAAATGTGGACGAATGAAACTATTGAAGATTATGTGGAAAGATCTCCCGTCAAACTGACCAAAAATGCTCTTCAATGTTACCAGTGCAAGGTTTGCTCGAAAGGCATTTCTGTCACAGTTGGCGTAAGACTTTAAGTCTTAGGGCACCAGAACTCCTAAATCTTTTTCGACTAGGGATACTACTAGAGAGGAGTTTCCTAAGTTGTAACTGTAATCTGCGACGTGTCGCAGATGGACTACTTTACACTTTAAAGTGTTAAAGGTAAGTCCGTTATCGTCTGCCCAACTTTGAAGTCGAGTCAGATCCTCCTGAAGTGCCTGTATGTCCTCTTGGTTGCGTATCTCTCTCCAAAGTTTCACGTCATCGGCAAAGAGCAATGTGTCTGACGTTACCTGTTGAGGAAGATCATTTATATAAATCAGGAAGAGAAGAGGTCCTAGTACTGAGTCCTGGGGGACCCCACTAGGACATTCCATAGCCTGTGAGAAATTGAAGTTTACCCTGACCTTCAAATGTCGATTTGTCAGATATGAACTGAGCCAGTCAATTAAAGGTGGTTTGATACCCAATTGTTTGAGCTTGTTAATAAGACAGATGTGGTTAACCCTATCAAAAGCTTTAGAGAAATCAAGGTAAATGATATCCACCTTCCCCTTGCGATCAACGATGCTTGTCCATCTGTCCACCGCGGTCAGCAGGTTCGACCTCGAGAATGCTCACCTAATAACTGGGAGTAAATGAGGGTCATAAACCAGTATGGGGAATAAGAATTATGATTTACAGTTGATGGTTAGGATAAGAATTAGATTTATGGTTTTTATCGCGAACTGACATCAGCTGCGATGCCGAAAGGTTATCTAGCTAAATGTATGGATACAGATCACGCCAAAATCAAAGACTCCTTATCATAAACCGGATTTCTTTATCCATAAATTACAGTCTCGCCGCTAAGTTAAATTTATTATTACTAATCACAGCTCCTATGTTCACTTTAATTCCAATTTATTTCATTTCAGGCGATCACAGAGATTAAATGTTTCATTCAAAAGCAATTTATTATCTAGACTTTTGAGTACCTAGTTGCTTTTTGTATTTTGTTTCAGTTTTCCTTACTTACGCTTGTTACCGCTCTTGGAGGAGCATAGGCCTCCCACCAGCAGTCGCCATCCAACCCTAACCTGGGCAATCCTTTCCAGTTACTATTCATCCTTTTGATGTCTGCTTCCAATGCCCGACTCAATGTGTTCCTTAGTCTCCCTATTTTCTCTTTCCCTTCAGGATTAGGAGTTAGGGCTTGCCTTGTAATGCAATTTGGTGATTTCCTCAGTGTATGTACTATCCATCTCCGGCTTCTTTTCCGAATTTCCTCTTCAAATTCCACATCTTCCGGAGCTTCTCAATCAAGTGTGATTGGGTCGGTGTTCTCCATGTTGTATTTCCGGATATTGCTTTTTTCTTTTGTGCATGTTGAGGCCTATCGCTGTGGAAGCTGCTGCTCCACTAGTTGTCTTCATCTGTGCTTGTTCGTGTGCATGGGATAGAAGAGCGAGGTCATCTGTGAGATTCAAATCGTGTAGTTGCATCCGACTCGTTCTTTGTATTTTGTGCTTTCCCTCAGATGTCGAGATCTTTATGATCCAGTCGGCCACTAGAAGAAAGGAGGAGAGTAAGCAGCCTTGTCTGACTCCGGTCCTCACTTGGAGTGCGACTGTCAGCCTCTATAGTCCTCACACTCGCTCAGATCTGTTTTCTTTGGTATCTTGATGAGGTGTTCTTTTCCAGTCCGTCGGCAGTTGTTCCTCCTCCTAAATCTTCCTGAATAGAACATGAAGCATGTTTGCAATTACTTCTATGTTTGACTTCAGTTCTTCAGCTAGTATATTTTCAGGTTCTGGTGTTTCCCACTCTTGATTTGTTTGATGGTCATCCTGATTTCTTCGATCGTTGGAGGAGCGACATCTATAAAAAATTCTGTGAGTGTGACTTCGATATCCGGTGGATTCAATGGAGCTGATCTAATCAAGAGTTCCTCAAAATATTCCACCCATCTGTTCCTATGCTCTTGAATCTTGGTGATTGTCTTGCCTTCTTTGTCCTTGAACGGTCTCTTTAGTTTACTATATTTCCTTACCAGGTTCTTCGTCGTGTCATATAGTTGTCTCATATTTCCTTCACTTGAAGCTTTCTCTGCTGTCATAAGCAAAGATTGATAGTGGCTAGCAGTGGAATCCAGGACGCGCGTTTCGTCCTATTTGGGACTCGACAGCTGGATGTACCTGCATCTCAGAGTTGATGTTCACTCTGGGACTCGAACCCAGTACCGTCCGCTTCAAACGCCATCGCGTTATCCCAGAGTGAACATCAACTCTGAAATGCAGGTACATTCAGCTGACGAGTCCCAAATATGACGAAACGCGCGTCCTGGTTTGCACTGTTAGCCACTATCCATCTTTGCTTATAGTGCTTGTAAATTAAGGCAATATCGAGGCAATACGCAGAGTATGCACATATGACAATAAGAGACTGATAAATTTCAGTCCTAAACATCAACGGGAAGATTCAAGTAAAGCAATATCAAGTGAATTTCTCTGCTGTCGTTGCCAGATCTTCCACGTATTTCTGCTTGTCAGGTTTAATGCTTCTCTTTACTTGTTTGTTTGTTTATTACTCACCTAGTCTCCATCTGTATATCAGACGGCAGGTATGCCATACATCACTGCTGAATGAAATATAGTCGTTGAACATGAAGGATTTAACTGGAGGACAGGTATTTGTTTGTATGTCACTGAAGTCTTGATCTTGTACGTAAAAAATGGGTTACCTCAAAATACGGTGGAAGTTCATAGTTTCACTGACTGCTGCTATGATTCATGTAGTGTGGAGTAGACCTTCTGTACCAGACTATCATTTAATCATCTCATATCATTGTTAATTATTAGTTTCGTTCATTAACTGTTGTTTCAGTTCACCTACACTTAAGTAGGTAAAAACAGTATACAGGTAGGTGCTAAGTTAAACCACATTGTCAAGTCATTCAACACTGTTTTAACAAAACAGTCTGAGTTCTAGTTGAAATGAATTACTTGGCAACCTTCTAAATATTCAAATTCGTTTTCATTTATGTAGAGGCTTTTATGTTTGAAAAGATCTGGCGTTTGGTTACTTATGTACAGTTTATTTATATCGACATCCATAGTAACTGTTGACTTGAATTTCAATTTTTTATTCATGCACTATGGTACTTTGGTTTGCAAATCGGACGTTTGATACATATGTTAAAGATTAATAACTATCTCAACCGTCACACAAAAGGTTCGATTAACAGCCTTGTATATTCTGCATTTGTTCACTAAAATATAAGGTGAGCTATATAGATTGCTCTCACTTCTAAGTTTTTGTTTACCCATTATGTCTGGAATTTTACCACTTATCGCAATATATCACTGGCATAATGATGAATTTTGTCATTCCATTCCAAGGTTGTTGATCAGTTGAAGAAACTGGATACTGATCAGGAAAAGAGGTACCAAGAGCATGTAGCTAAAGAAAAAAGCGATGTGGTACGGAAATTCAGTAAATTCACAGAAGAAGAGCGTGCTAAGATGCTTAAGAGTCTGAAAGAACAGGCTGAAAAACACAAGAGTCGTCCTAGAATTTACCAACCAGTAAGTCTAATTTTACATTATCATAATCTTTTGTGTACTTTTAAATAAAAATATTACAGTATTTATATATAATTTCTTTTTACATAAAATACTTAGTTTTGAATTACTTGATATAAGGTTTTTTGGCGAGACTCTAATTTAGGGACGAGCCAATCGGAAGCGTGTGAGCCGTTTCAAGGTCACGGAGCCAAGTTTAACATCTGATGCTCACATATGATCGGTTTGCAGCGGATTTTAGAGAAGAGGTGATTATTGAGAGGCTACAAGGGATGGGATTACTAAAAAGTTCTTGTACGTGAGACTGCGGTTATCATATGACTGCAGTAAAGTGTACAAACCACCGTGGTGAGATTATATTGCGTTGTCCTTCATGTTGGATGAGAAAGTCTACTAAAACGAGGACTTTCTTAGCTCGATTGCTACTGAAACTGAATCAGATTATAATAATAGTTGCAAATTGGGTAATAAATACACCAGTAACACTGGATGCGGCGTTTGCAGTTGTTTATGAAACTTCAGCAGTCCAGTGGTATAAGTACTGCCGTGACATATGTGCAACTAAAATAACACGTATACACCAATCATTCTGAGGAGTAGGATGTATCGTGCAGACAGACGAAACGGCAGTGAGAAAGCTAAAATACAACAGGGGACGTAGTATAAAGTAGGATTGTGTAAGTAGCATTTCCGTGAATATACTCGACAGGTACTTGGAATTTATGACTTTTATACCGTATGCAATATCATTTCAAAACATCTGAAACTTTAGCAAACCTTGATAAGTTTTTAAATCACGTGAAATAAGTATATTCACTGTAATCCATTAGTTTCTTCTAATATATTTCTACGTTATACTGGCTGTCTTCTGATTGGCTAATATTCTCAAGGTCACTCAAAATTCGTTCAAAGGTCGTCCCTAAATTAGAGTCTCGCCGGTTTTTTTGTGGAACTGCTGAAAACTCATTGTTCATCACATATATCCATATAATCGCGAATTTCCGGCGCTATAACCGGATCCCAAACCAATGGTGCACATGGGCTCCAGCATCTTGAGGGAACAAATGGTGTATGAACCAATCGTTGATCACCGGCTACCATGGGACTGCATCTCCTCACGGTGCTCCACTGCCTCGTGGGTCAGACGTTTAGGTCAAAGACTCGGGGTGTAGCCCCCTAAGATAACCACCTGTTCGGTTTGGGCACCCGGGCAGTATCACAACCCTCACACAAATCAATTGAGATTCTTGTGGCGCATATGTGTTTGGTGATTCCTTGTACCAATACCTATGTGTTAAAATAAATAAATAAATATCCATATAATCAGTCGTTACTTCAACTTTACTACTTGAAACTTTTAACCACCGAAATAATAACTCCTTTACTTTTTGCAAACATAAAGTCATATTTTTTGGTAAATTTTTGGATTACAGCACAGTCTATGGGACACGCTATGTTCTACTTGGGACTCGTCAGTAAAAAGCACCTGGATTATCATTTTGATTTTCACTCAGAAATTCGAATCCAGTGCCTAGAGCTTCAAACGTTAACACTGAATCCACAAAGCCTCCAAGTCCAAATAACTAGCAACTTGTTCCATAAGTGTAATGTTATTTGTAAGGGGCTGTGTATTTACCTGTTCTTATTATTCAGGACGGCGTTTGATCAGTCTAGGATCTTGTAACAATGCCGAAACATCTACTCGATCAACCAAAACCGACCAAATGCGGTCGTATATATTAACAATGAGAAAATAGAGACATTCATATACCAATGTTATAATTAATTTTAATAATGTATTTAGCAATTTTTAAATTCACATGCCTATGTCGCTTGGCGCAATTTAAAAACCGATTTATATTGAGGAAAAGTGACAGGAAATTCAGTATGTAATCTTCAATTCCGTGCGTCAAATACATGAGTTGTGATTTTGCATGATCACTCGTATTAAAACAAGAATTTTGTGGATATTTTTATGGTAACCTTGATTTAATAAGCTCTCAGAGAGTTTAATGATTGGTTTGCTTAATCTATCTTAAGCTAGAGGGTTCTGATATATATAAGCAGTCAATTTAATTGATTTTATGTTGCAAATCTAAGGGGCTTCAAGTGTTTATATTAACTTAAGATTCAGAAATCTTCAGGTTTTAGTTCATTTTCATATTACTCAACTGAATTTATAATGACCTTAACTACTGCTAATATGATGATTAAAGTGAGTCACTACTGTTTTCCGATGCAGGGAAGTCAAGATCAGCTTAAAGAATATTGGGAAAAATATGAGGGATTGGATAAGGAATCATTCAATTTTCGAACGTTATTTGCTGATATTGGTAAGTCCTGTCTATATAGTTCTTTCTGCAATTTAATTTTCAATCTTATGATTTATAAATCTTTAATAATTTAAAATTAATATTTACTCAATAAACAACTTGGTTAATCAACGTCCCATATTTTCCAACTTACAGTTTTTCTACAACCCCAATATGAATAACCTATTTTTTTCAGTAATTTTGAATTTGATTTAAAACATGAAGACCAACTTCCATAATAATTGGATGTTAGTACGGAGAATCAAAAAAAAATGGACAGTTGACCTAATGTTAACACTTCGACGAGCTTTGAAGGACTGAGATACTTAGCAATACTCGACGTTAGCCATATTTCTTGAATTGAGGGTTGCAATTAACTTATTTGACCGAAGGGTCTTTTAGCACTTGTCGTTGAAACGCCTGTCAAGCATATAAATTGATATAACGAAGACTCTATCCAGTAAGTGCTAGCTTGTGGTGTGTGACTATCTCACTCGATGTCCTTCACTGAAGTCCTCTATTTCTTGGTATGTGGCTCTGATATATGGAGTTACTAGTGTGGTGTGGGTTACTTATATCCACACAAGTAGTATATAACGGTGGTCAGGCAAAGAATATATTTCAGTAGAAGGTCGATGAGGAAAGAATGGGAACGGAACACAATTGGTATGAAAACGCATGAACAATGAAATCTGAGACAATGGATTGAGGTTTGCAAGTTCGAGATGATGGACTGATGTTTTGCAAATTAACGATTTACTGTATGGTTCTCATATTTTAGTGAAATGCTCTGTAATTTTATACTCGAAATATATATTCGAATATATCCATTCGTGTTCTTGTTCACTACACGAATACATAATCATGAATGTCTTCGAAGCGTTAGTTATCTATTACAGGATAAATGAGTGAATAGTACTAGGGTTAAGCATAGTGTATTAAATAAGTATGACAAATCGGTTGATGAACCCGAGGTGTCTCGGGTATATAGTATGTATTTCCACCTACATCTTACTCCAATGCACATTCTTGTTTGAGGTAAGAGTGTGTTATATAAAAGTGAAGCCAGACAGGTCATAACATAGCATCGATTTACGAATTTATTGAAATTTATGCTGATCCATATTACTTAATGAAAATGTCCTTGTTGGGGATCCATGGGATAATCTTAGTATTCAATTGGATACGCTGAATAAAATGGCCCCAAGTCGACCGTAATTGGTCATTTATTGTCACCTAGATCTTTAACGTATTTTTATTATACACTTCAATCTCCTGTTATTCCTTTTTTACTGTTTCCGCTAGAGTTAACACTAGACAATGTCACTACCGTTCTTCTAATCTTAACAATTCGAGGTTTGGTGTGAATCCTTAGTCGTTCATGTCAGATCCTATGTTGCGATAGGTGAGCATAATTGCCTTCATTTATATTCAGTATATATACTTTTGATAAGAAACCTTACGCTTGTTACCGCTCTTGGAGGAGCATAGGCCTCCCACCAGCAGTCGCCATGCAACCCTAACCTGGGCAATCCTTTCCAGTTACTATTCATCCTTTTGATGTCTGCTTCCAATGCCCGACTCAATGTGTTCCTTAGTCTCCCTATTTTCTCTTTCCCTTCAGGATTAGGAGTTAGGGCTTGCCTTGTAATGCAATTTGGTGATTTCCTCAGTGTATGTACTATCCATCTCCGGCTTCTTTTCCGAATTTCCTCTTCAAATTCCACATCTTCCGGAGCTTCTCAATCAAGTGTGATTGGGTCGGTGTTCTCCATGTTGTATTTCCGGATATTGCTTTTTTCTTTTGTGCATGTTGAGGCCTATCGCTGTGGAAGCTGCTGCTCCACTAGTTGTCTTCATCTGTGCTTGTTCGTGTGCATGGGATAGAAGAGCGAGGTCATCTGTGAGATTCAAATCGTGTAGTTGCATCCGACTCGTTCTTTGTATTTTGTGCTTTCCCTCAGATGTCGAGATCTTTATGATCCAGTCGGCCACTAGAAGAAAGGAGGAGAGTAAGCAGCCTTGTCTGACTCCGGTCCTCACTTGGAGTGCGACTGTCAGCCTCTATAGTCCTCACACTCGCTCAGATCTGTTTTCTTTGGTATCTTGATGAGGTGTTCTTTTCCAGTCCGTCGGCAGTTGTTCCTCCTCCTAAATCTTCCTGAATAGAACATGAAGCATGTTTGCAATTACTTCTATGTTTGACTTCAGTTCTTCAGCTAGTATATTTTCAGGTTCTGGTGTTTCCCACTCTTGATTTGTCTGGTTGCCATCGTTATTTCTTCCAATCTATTTTGTTCTGTGATACCCACATGCCCAGTCTTTCCCATTCCGATTTTGGCAGTTAGGTTTCCCATCCGGATGGTCAAGTCATTTCCTATAATCGACTGCTACTTCTTGGAAATTCGGTATTCACTACTGTCGTTGGTGGGCTGATTACACTGGATAACATTTATTTTATTTCCCTCCTTCTTTTTTGTGAAGGACCATTTGACGTTTTTGTATTCTTGATATTTCTATTATTTAAATGCTTTTGGTGCATCACTGAACAGCCTCAGTGCGCTTTCTAAGTATTTTTATCTTCATGATTAGGGTAGAAGAACATTTTTCACGAATCTATCCTTTCCTCTGCAGTTTGGGTCCAATTGGTTTGATTGATTCCGAGCAATGCCAAGATGTATCCTCTTGTTCCCGCAGCTTTTTGATTGATACTTTCGGTCTTCCACACCGTCCGTCACCAATGTTGCCGCAGTTTTAATGGGGTTGAAAATCAGTGTATGTTACAAAGTGTACTGTCTACCCTATGGAATACAATATTAGTAAATGATTGATAAACCTTATATTAAATATCGCAGTTCAAACTAATCGTCATCTGCAGTAAGGATAGGAGGTAAATTATTCTATATTAGTTCATGCAATTTGCAGCTGTGTAAATACACAATCTTTTTTAGAATAAATAAGCAGAATGTGCTGATATAACGGGTTCTGGTAGACAATTTCAGTAAATCATAACATGGAAAGAGAAACGGAACTCCAAATTTGAATGATTTGATTTCGGCTTTTTAACTATTTTAGAGCGTCCACTCAGGTGGTCAGTCCCAGATGGAAGGATGAGATAAGGCATATTGATACTGTGAGGAATGTTCAATATACTCTTCTTCAGTATTTACCACAAATTATGCATGTATTTCAATGATTTTGAATGCTGAAAATTTTATGTCAGACAGAGAATTGTTCTGATAAAATCCTTTAGCAGGGTTCCAAATAATTTGTTTGTCTTCATCGAAGCAGTCTAATTGGACTCGAGGTCTTATTTGGCGGTACTTGAAACTGGGGGTTTGTGTAATGGTATGTTTTAGGTAAACATTGTAGACTAATAGCTTCAGGTTATCTTTGCGCTACTTTTTCTCATAATCAAGTTCATTGTGTCGGTTCCTGTCGTACCTTCTTCTAACTATGTGAGTGCTTTAGATTGATGCACATATGTCCATGTATATACATTTTGTCTGTCGTAATTTAATTTTATCTAAACATTTGAAATGATTTATGACCCACTTTTGCTATTGCTTTTATGTTTTGTGAACTTTGGCAGCTATAAGCAGATTTTTAGTGCGTCATACTGGAAGCACTGTCAGGTATTACTCCTTTAGCCCAGTTGGCGGTGTGCATTAGGCATCATTTTTGGTAATTAATCACGATTTGTTTATTTGCTTTATACGGAATTTTGTGCAACATTTTGTGGTAAGCCTGCATTAGATGTCGGCTATCTGTCTCCTTTTTCATGTTACTCAGAAATAAATTTAGTAAATCGGTGAGACTAATTTATGTACAAGTCTTCTTGGAGTAGTTTTAGATAAGTTGATCCCGTGTTTTTAGGCCTGTGTCACTGGGGATGAAAATCCGTGGAGCGATTTAAGGTGTATTATTCAAAAATAGACCTTTCCGAACCCTCTTCCGTTGTTAAACGCCTCATCCCTGCAGATACTGGTTGCTTGAAAGAAATACTTTAATGCCTCTGTATCACTGTGCAGTTGACAGTTCGACCTTTCTCTCAAATTCCAAGTCTAATTATTTCAGTTTTGCCACTCCGAAAACCCTGCCTAGCATGGTAGGACATAAAAAAACAATTATCCGAGTTAATAGTGCTCGATGAGTCATCATGATATGCAAACCCGACTATCATGTCAAGTTAACAGTTATTTTCAGTACCACACACGAAATTGATTATGAAAACAACGTGTAAACTAGTATTTGAAATCTGAAGTCAAATTCAATCTCCCACCAAAGTTATTTGTAACTCGTAGTAAGTTTTTTTCTGTATATTCGTTACTTTATTGAGTTGATAAGGAACGTAATGAAATACTGTCGTTGCGACTATAGGTTAACGAATATAATTATTCTTACCTTTAGAGTTATTTTGCAATATTCTATGAATCATCACTTAACTTCGGCTTCCCCAGGGTATCTCGAATATTATCTACTATCGTACTTCTGACATATCTAATGGACAAGGTATGATACAACTTCAAGCTTATTTGAAGTGTTGAAGATTGCTGGTCTATTCCTGACTAACTTATGGATCAGGTTGTCTTATTAATTAATACACAACTAAAGTCAGTGCATTGGAAATTACAGAAAATTATATTCCATATCTGAATTAATAAGGGCATTTGGGGGCCCCCAAATGCCCTGGTACGGCCGAGAGTGGGGAGAGTCCGCTCTCCCTCTCGAAATGCTCTCACATGGCCATGTGTATATAGCCTCTGCCAGGGAAGTCCTACTCACTGCCTTCTCGTGGCGGGGGTGTTGTTTACGAAAATGAGAGGACGAAAAGCGAATGTCCGGCGCTTTAACCGGATCCCAAACCAATGGTGCACATGGGCTCCAGTATCCTGAAGGAACAAATGGCGTATGAACCAATCGTTGGTCACCGGCTACCATGGGACTGCATCTCCTCACGATGCTCCACTGCCTTGTGGGTCAGACGTCCAGGTCAAAGGCTCGGGGTGTGGCCCCCTAAGAAAACCACCTGCTTCGGTTTGGGCACCCGGGCAGTATCACAACCCTCACACAAATCAATTGAGATTCTTGTGGCGCATATGTGTTTGGTGATTCCTTGTACCAATACCTATGTGTTAAAATAAATAAATAAATAAATAAATTAATAAGGATTCCCTTATGATGTTTTTAGTAAGCACAGAAACTGATATTTATAATGTTCATAATACCTATCAGTTAAAAGGTAATTTCAAAACACTCTGGATGCAAATATTACTTTGTTACATTTCCGAATATTCCTTAACGTACTTGTGAACAGAAGATACAATAGAAACCTTGCTTTTTGTGTATAGATTATGTTCGTAAATGTTAGAATAAGCACTCGAAAAATTTTCTACCGCTATGTATTAATGCGGAGTTGTTTTGAATTTTATATGATTCAGTATGATGAATTTATAGTATTATCTCTGAACATCACTTTGTAAAGGACCTTATAAGGAGAGTATATAATTTTGGTTACTTTTTTTTCTTTCGGAAACAAAAAATTATCTGTAAACTTTGCTAATCGTCTTGTACCTTGAGTCACATGTGTGCATAGTCCTGTCTTGGTTACTGCGCTTGTTTCTGATTTGTTTCAACATGAATCTGCTTCTAGATTGTAGTATGCTCTAAAGCTGTGTTGTTAGGTGATGTATAGTTTACAAAGAGTTGTTTTAACCTTTATAACTTTAGGCTGAGGAAGCTTCTCAATACAAGAAATATTTAGAAGAGGCACCAAAAGCAATAAACGTGGATCCTCAAACACTGACTTCGGCTCGAGAATTTTTTGGAGGAAATGTAAGTTATTTCCGACGAAAAACTCGGTTTTGTCTTTACTGGTGCTGGATATCATGATATATATATATATATATATATATATATATATATATATATATATATATATAGTCAAGGGTTTGTTTTCCTGCTTCATACAAACCATCTAGATGCTTGTATGACTCGACGGTGTTTAACATCCACCGACACATAATAATATACTGTGCTGGTGTGTGAAGTGAGGTTTCCTACCGAGTTAATAATCTATACTTTTATATTAAATTTTATCTTTATACTTTCCACATGATTATTTACTGTAATACTCATATCGATGAAATAACTAAGTATATTGGTTAGTATGCTAGTTACTAGTCATAATAAATAACTGCTATGTTGCCGTTTTGAAAACTTTTTCATCTGTCATACAGCGGTCTAAGACCATCTATACGGAATGTAGTAAAGATCATCTGCTGAGTTTATGATCGAAATTAGTATGAGAAAGCGTATAAACAATATGACGTTAAACGTTTGTTTATAATAAAATAATCATGTTTTTTCAAAGTTTTTGCATGATAATTTATGGGTTAAGTGAATCGTAATCTTATCAATATTCGTTCTTATATATGTTTGCTGGGACAATCTCTGAATGCTAAAGCTGAAATAGGTACCTTCCTTAATGGACTAATTCCTGAGTCTCCGACATAGTCCACAAGGCAACTGGCGCCGAGCGTTCATATTTTATACTCTTACTTTCGTAAAAACACGCTATGTTAAGGCGATGAGTAGGAATTCCGTGCTAGAGACTGTATATGGTTAACCATGTGAGAGTACTTCTAAGGAGGGAGCTGATTCGCCTTCCTCTTGTCCGTTCCTGTGCGTTTATGGTCCCGTCACTAACAGTATACATCTTTTCATTGCCTTAAATTTTGTCTCTACATTTTTAAAATCTTAATCAGAGTATACAGTATTTGATCCACATGATATTTGTGAGAAACGATGTCCACCTACACCCCGACAGATTGCACCTCAGATGCTGTTAAGGATGAGTTTTATCACTAGTTACCTGTTCTTCTACCTAAAAATGAATTGGACAGATACTGTAGTACTAACTGGAGTGTTTCTCAATATCGGAACTGCCTTCGATTCGTTGAACAGGACTCTTCTCTGGGATTGTCTATTGAAGAAGAGTGTGTCTGAGAAGTTTATTAACAACTTAAGAGCCCTATGTACAAACACTTCATGTAGAGTGAGAGCATACAACCACCTATCTCCATTGTTTTATTCAGGCTGTGGGATTAGGCAGGGTTTCCCAATCTCAGCATTCCCCTTCAACTTTGCCATCGATGACGTTCTGGAAACAGCCCCCGAATGCCCTGGTACGGCCGAGAGTGGGGAGAGTCCGCTCTCCCTCTCGAAATGCTCTCCCTTCAATATCCTGAGAGAACAAATGGCGTATGAACCAATCGTTGGTCACCGGCTACCATGGGACTGCATCTCCTTACGATGCTCCACTGCCTTATGGATCAGACCTTTAGGTCGAATGCTCCGGGAGTGGCTCCCTAAGATAACCACCTGTTCGGTTTGGGCACCCGGGCAATATCACAGCCCTCACACAAATCAAATGAGATTTGTGTGGCACATATGTATTCGGTGCCTTCTTGTAACAGTATCTATGTGTTCAAACGAAATAATCTGATGGATGTAAGTAATGGTGGTGTGGATTTGTCGCCTGGAGAACGACTTCTCTGGGTAGCTGCATAAGTGCTGGTGATGGCGTGAGTGATGAGATCAACTCATGTATAGTAAAAGCCAGGGCAGCGTATACCAATCTAGGCCATCTTTGGTGCCTCCATAATTTTAATCTGGCTGTAAAATTTCGGATCTACAACGCGTCGGTGAGAGAAGTTCCGCTCTATGCTTGTGAAATTGGGCCTCTCCGAGTTGAAGATGTTAGATGACTGTGTGTTTGGTTATCGTTGTGTTCGAAGGATTGCTGACATCCAGTGGCAATACCATGTTAGTAATGCAGAAGTTCAGCATCGTGTATTCGGATACGGTGACAATAATTCAATTTGTATCACCATCTTAAAACACCGGCTTCAGTAGCTTGCTCATGTCCTACGAATGTCGTCCTAGTGAATTCTACCTCTTACATTATTTGGCGACTCTGGGACTGGCTGGAAAAAGCAAAGGTGGCCAGGGTATGACACTGTGTCGTGGTGAAAGATAGTCGTACAGAACTGGCTTCTGTTGGTGGTTCACGTCTCCCTAGTTGCGGTCTTAAAGATGGCTCGAGATGTTATCAGATATGTCTCAAAATAGAAGCTAGTCAGTATCGTGCTGCAACTTTCTCTTAATTTCACAAAAGCAAGTGCAATTTATTTAACCGGAAGAATTCTTTCTGGTTGCATTTTTCCTGAATGAACTTCTCCTCTCATTATTATTATTTTTACGTTCATTATTATTGTTTTACTTTCATACATTAATTTCTATTCATCGTTGTTTCTCTTTTTTCCTATACTCACTATATTTTATCTCTTCACAACCTCATTTTCATTATATGGCGCATATATTTTTGCCTCCGTGTACAAAAGTTTGTGTGTTAAAATGAAAAAAGTGGGAAATACTTGTTAAAGAGAAGAAAAACGTTCTCAAAATATACTTTTTCGTTTAGATTCAGTAGTTGATACAAAGTTTTCCACATTTACTTGCAATACACTAAAGAGAAAGCACTGATGAAAAGCCCTGCGGTAGCTGTTATCTGGACGTGTTGGTAGGACAATCGTGACGACCTAGCAGAACCACGTGAACTGGGACACTTATTCCTTGAGATTCTATCACTACCATTCCGATTTCCTTCTTATGTATCATAAGCAAAAATATCCTTTTATGGTGTGAGCGACCAAAAAGTGGAAACTGCTTGCGTATATCCCCAGATTTTCCCGTGATTGGAAAGCCATATATAACTTGGAATAAGAGAATGCAGCAGGTTTTGAGAAATTGGCTTCAAAAGTCTTTAAGAGTGTTTGGTTCGGTCCTAGCAGTTGGGTTTTTTTAGATACTGGCTAGAATTCGAGAGCTGGATCTGATTGGTTTGTTCGTTTAAGTTAATAAGTAAGGTGTTTAGCCCCTGTAAGGGACTACTTAAAAGTGTACATCCACGACCCTACCGGGGATGGAATCCAAGACCCTTCGGATCATGAGCAAGCGCTTAACCTCTAGATAATTGGATCAATATCTTAATAGTGTACATTTCTAACTTCAACCTATTCACTATTTTTCACAGCTTCTATGATCAGATGCTTATCTGGAGCTCAAAAACAGTTGATTCGAAGAGACTACTTGTTTCAGACTTGGTGGTGGATGCATTAATCAGTTGTTCAGTTTTCGTCAATCCTTGCAATATAGGCTTATTCACGGGAGCGCTACTGTAGTTATATTTCATCACCTGATTCCTTAGATTGAGAGGTTCTATGTTAATATTTGTCACTATTTTCTCGTATATCTCGAGATGATTATGTATGTACATACATACATACCTTTCCTCGTTGTCTTCCCTCAGTATATTCTCATCCTAATGGCTACTACATTATGTTGTCTCCTTTGCTAGTTATTTTGCCGCCTTCATATGACTGTACTGATCTGAAATGTCAACCTGGGCTTAAGTATATATATATATATATATATATATATATATATATATACTTGACTCTACTTTGATTATAACCGTCTGACTGATTTATTCATTAATCAGTAGGTGTCAGTATGTGTTCGTTTATTGTTTGGCCTCACATTTTCTGACACGAATTTTTGTCCGTCAATTTTTTTGAAATTTTAATGGTGGTTATCTGAAGTCGATGATAGATTTCGTCTTGTCTTTTGAAGTCATTACCCAGTTTTTAAAGTGCTTGTTTGCTAATTGTTGTATGGTGCCTCTACAAATTTCTATTTTGACAGTCGGATAGTATCTCTGAGTCTCATAAATGTGATTCTAAACGGACTACATAACTATTTGTTTGTTTCTGGAGTTACATAAGTTAAATTTTTATGTATTGTAAGTTCTATTACTTTACTTATTAATTATAATTGCATTGTTAAATTATCAGTTTTCTTACTTCACACACAAATTCACTTGGTTTCCTTCATTGTAGTCTTCTTTAGATGATTTATTACTACTTTGGAATACAACTTTACGAGATAAACACGATGAAACAAAACGTCATCTAGTCGAAAAACTTATAAAAGCCCATTTGAGGAAAGCAGCAGATAGTCATCCCAACACAATGGGCGGTATTGTCTACAAAACCTTACCGGGATATGAAACGGAATCATCGAAAAAAGTAACCATTATATTGTTCTATGTGTGATTGTTTCATTCTAACATTTAGCTCATCTTTTAAAATTAACGCCTTTTTATATTTGTCTATGTATATTTAAATAGTTAGCACATCCATTTTACTGAACTAGGGAATTATCAGCTACATGAAATACAGATCAGTAGTCAGTTAAAATCTGACATCGATTGTCAACATTATCTATAGGGATATTATATTCTAAATAAAGTATTTTCACCTTGTTTTTTCCTAATAAGTTCACTAAGTATCCAGATTACTTCATTTTTGAAAGTAAATTTGTTCAATACACTTCTCTCCTTGTCTAATTGATTCGACTCTAGCATACCTGCCATAATTTATGTTTCTAGACAAACATGTTAACAAAATTCAGGTTCCCTTGAATATCTTAAACAAAAATCTGAAGGCATACAGGAAATGTTTTATATCTACCAAACATGTGATTATGTTCAAGGATAGAGTTCCACTGACATCTAATATAGGGAATGAAGTTGTTTAGCTTGAAAGCTGATTCGACATTGATATAATTATCTTCGACCAAATTCCACAGCAAATACGGAGGAACCATATGACATTTCCAGACTTATACCACTTATTACTCACCCAGTCTCCATCTGTATATCAGACGGCAGGTATGCCATACATCACTGCTGAATGAAATATAGTCGTTGAACATGAAGGATTTAACTGGAGGACAGGTATTTGTTTGTATGTCACTGAAGTCTTGATCTTGTACGTAAAAAATGGGTTACCTCAAAATACGGTGGAAGTTCATAGTTTCACTGACTGCTGCTATGATTCATGTAGTGTGGAGTAGACCTTCTGTACCAGACTATCATTTAATCATCTCATATCATTGTTAATTATTAGTTTCGTTCATTAACTGTTGTTTCAGTTCACCTACACTTAAGTAGGTAAAAACAGTATACAGGTAGGTGCTAAGTTAAACCACATTGTCAAGTCATTCAACACTGTTTTAACAAAACAGTCTGAGTTCTAGTTGAAATGAATTACTTGGCAACCTTCTAAATATTCAAATTCGTTTTCATTTATGTAGAGGCTTTTATGTTTGAAAAGATCTGGCGTTTGGTTACTTATGTACAGTTTATTTATATCGACATCCATAGTAACTGTTGACTTGAATTTCAATTTTTTATTCATGCACTATGGTACTTTGGTTTGCAAATCGGACGTTTGATACATATGTTAAAGATTAATAACTATCTCAACCGTCACACAAAAGGTTCGATTAACAGCCTTGTATATTCTGCATTTGTTCACTAAAATATAAGGTGAGCTATATAGATTGCTCTCACTTCTAAGTTTTTGTTTACCCATTATGTCTGGAATTTTACCACTTATCGCAATATATCACTGGCATAATGATGAATTTTGTCATTCCATTCCAAGGTTGTTGATCAGTTGAAGAAACTGGATACTGATCAGGAAAAGAGGTACCAAGAGCATGTAGCTAAAGAAAAAAGCGATGTGGTACGGAAATTCAGTAAATTCACAGAAGAAGAGCGTGCTAAGATGCTTAAGAGTCTGAAAGAACAGGCTGAAAAACACAAGAGTCGTCCTAGAATTTACCAACCAGTAAGTCTAATTTTACATTATCATAATCTTTTGTGTACTTTTAAATAAAAATATTACAGTATTTATATATAATTTCTTTTTACATAAAATACTTAGTTTTGAATTACTTGATATAAGGTTTTTTGGCGAGACTCTAATTTAGGGACGAGCCAATCGGAAGCGTGTGAGCCGTTTCAAGGTCACGGAGCCAAGTTTAACATCTGATGCTCACATATGATCGGTTTGCAGCGGATTTTAGAGAAGAGGTGATTATTGAGAGGCTACAAGGGATGGGATTACTAAAAAGTTCTTGTACGTGAGACTGCGGTTATCATATGACTGCAGTAAAGTGTACAAACCACCGTGGTGAGATTATATTGCGTTGTCCTTCATGTTGGATGAGAAAGTCTACTAAAACGAGGACTTTCTTAGCTCGATTGCTACTGAAACTGAATCAGATTATAATAATAGTTGCAAATTGGGTAATAAATACACCAGTAACACTGGATGCGGCGTTTGCAGTTGTTTATGAAACTTCAGCAGTCCAGTGGTATAAGTACTGCCGTGACATATGTGCAACTAAAATAACACGTATACACCAATCATTCTGAGGAGTAGGATGTATCGTGCAGACAGACGAAACGGCAGTGAGAAAGCTAAAATACAACAGGGGACGTAGTATAAAGTAGGATTGTGTAAGTAGCATTTCCGTGAATATACTCGACAGGTACTTGGAATTTATGACTTTTTATACCGTATGCAATATCATTTCAAAACATCTGAAACTTTAGCAAACCTTGATAAGTTTTTAAATCACGTGAAATAAGTATATTCACTGTAATCCATTAGTTTCTTCTAATATATTTCTACGTTATACTGGCTGTCTTCTGATTGGCTAATATTCTCAAGGTCACTCAAAATTCGTTCAAAGGTCGTCCCTAAATTAGAGTCTCGCCGGTTTTTTTGTGGAACTGCTGAAAACTCATTGTTCATCACATATATCCATATAATCGCGAATTTCCGGCGCTATAACCGGATCCCAAACCAATGGTGCACATGGGCTCCAGCATCTTGAGGGAACAAATGGTGTATGAACCAATCGTTGATCACCGGCTACCATGGGACTGCATCTCCTCACGGTGCTCCACTGCCTCGTGGGTCAGACGTTTAGGTCAAAGACTCGGGGTGTAGCCCCCTAAGATAACCACCTGTTCGGTTTGGGCACCCGGGCAGTATCACAACCCTCACACAAATCAATTGAGATTCTTGTGGCGCATATGTGTTTGGTGATTCCTTGTACCAATACCTATGTGTTAAAATAAATAAATAAATATCCATATAATCAGTCGTTACTTCAACTTTACTACTTGAAACTTTTAACCACCGAAATAATAACTCCTTTACTTTTTGCAAACATAAAGTCATATTTTTTGGTAAATTTTTGGATTACAGCACAGTCTATGGGACACGCTATGTTCTACTTGGGACTCGTCAGTAAAAAGCACCTGGATTATCATTTTGATTTTCACTCAGAAATTCGAATCCAGTGCCTAGAGCTTCAAACGTTAACACTGAATCCACAAAGCCTCCAAGTCCAAATAACTAGCAACTTGTTCCATAAGTGTAATGTTATTTGTAAGGGGCTGTGTATTTACCTGTTCTTATTATTCAGGACGGCGTTTGATCAGTCTAGGATCTTGTAACAATGCCGAAACATCTACTCGATCAACCAAAACCGACCAAATGCGGTCGTATATATTAACAATGAGAAAATAGAGACATTCATATACCAATGTTATAATTAATTTTAATAATGTATTTAGCAATTTTTAAATTCACATGCCTATGTCGCTTGGCGCAATTTAAAAACCGATTTATATTGAGGAAAAGTGACAGGAAATTCAGTATGTAATCTTCAATTCCGTGCGTCAAATACATGAGTTGTGATTTTGCATGATCACTCGTATTAAAACAAGAATTTTGTGGATATTTTTATGGTAACCTTGATTTAATAAGCTCTCAGAGAGTTTAATGATTGGTTTGCTTAATCTATCTTAAGCTAGAGGGTTCTGATATATATAAGCAGTCAATTTAATTGATTTTATGTTGCAAATCTAAGGGGCTTCAAGTGTTTATATTAACTTAAGATTCAGAAATCTTCAGGTTTTAGTTCATTTTCATATTACTCAACTGAATTTATAATGACCTTAACTACTGCTAATATGATGATTAAAGTGAGTCACTACTGTTTTCCGATGCAGGGAAGTCAAGATCAGCTTAAAGAATATTGGGAAAAATATGAGGGATTGGATAAGGAATCATTCAATTTTCGAACGTTATTTGCTGATATTGGTAAGTCCTGTCTATATAGTTCTTTCTGCAATTTAATTTTCAATCTTATGATTTATAAATCTTTAATAATTTAAAATTAATATTTACTCAATAAACAACTTGGTTAATCAACGTCCCATATTTTCCAACTTACAGTTTTTCTACAACCCCAATATGAATAACCTATTTTTTTCAGTAATTTTGAATTTGATTTAAAACATGAAGACCAACTTCCATAATAATTGGATGTTAGTACGGAGAATCAAAAAAAAATGGACAGTTGACCTAATGTTAACACTTCGACGAGCTTTGAAGGACTGAGATACTTAGCAATACTCGACGTTAGCCATATTTCTTGAATTGAGGGTTGCAATTAACTTATTTGACCGAAGGGTCTTTTAGCACTTGTCGTTGAAACGCCTGTCAAGCATATAAATTGATATAACGAAGACTCTATCCAGTAAGTGCTAGCTTGTGGTGTGTGACTATCTCACTCGATGTCCTTCACTGAAGTCCTCTATTTCTTGGTATGTGGCTCTGATATATGGAGTTACTAGTGTGGTGTGGGTTACTTATATCCACACAAGTAGTATATAACGGTGGTCAGGCAAAGAATATATTTCAGTAGAAGGTCGATGAGGAAAGAATGGGAACGGAACACAATTGGTATGAAAACGCATGAACAATGAAATCTGAGACAATGGATTGAGGTTTGCAAGTTCGAGATGATGGACTGATGTTTTGCAAATTAACGATTTACTGTATGGTTCTCATATTTTAGTGAAATGCTCTGTAATTTTATACTCGAAATATATATTCGAATATATCCATTCGTGTTCTTGTTCACTACACGAATACATAATCATGAATGTCTTCGAAGCGTTAGTTATCTATTACAGGATAAATGAGTGAATAGTACTAGGGTTAAGCATAGTGTATTAAATAAGTATGACAAATCGGTTGATGAACCCGAGGTGTCTCGGGTATATAGTATGTATTTCCACCTACATCTTACTCCAATGCACATTCTTGTTTGAGGTAAGAGTGTGTTATATAAAAGTGAAGCCAGACAGGTCATAACATAGCATCGATTTACGAATTTATTGAAATTTATGCTGATCCATATTACTTAATGAAAATGTCCTTGTTGGGGATCCATGGGATAATCTTAGTATTCAATTGGATACGCTGAATAAAATGGCCCCAAGTCGACCGTAATTGGTCATTTATTGTCACCTAGATCTTTAACGTATTTTTATTATACACTTCAATCTCCTGTTATTCCTTTTTTACTGTTTCCGCTAGAGTTAACACTAGACAATGTCACTACCGTTCTTCTAATCTTAACAATTCGAGGTTTGGTGTGAATCCTTAGTCGTTCATGTCAGATCCTATGTTGCGATAGGTGAACATAATTGCCTTCATTTATATTCAGTATATATACTTTTGATAAGAAACCTTACGCTTGTTACCGCTCTTGGAGGAGCATAGGCCTCCCACCAGCAGTCGCCATGCAACCCTAACCTGGGCAATCCTTTCCAGTTACTATTCATCCTTTTGATGTCTGCTTCCAATGCCCGACTCAATGTGTTCCTTAGTCTCCCTATTTTCTCTTTCCCTTCAGGATTAGGAGTTAGGGCTTGCCTTGTAATGCAATTTGGTGATTTCCTCAGTGTATGTACTATCCATCTCCGGCTTCTTTTCCGAATTTCCTCTTCAAATTCCACATCTTCCGGAGCTTCTCAATCAAGTGTGATTGGGTCGGTGTTCTCCATGTTGTATTTCCGGATATTGCTTTTTTCTTTTGTGCATGTTGAGGCCTATCGCTGTGGAAGCTGCTGCTCCACTAGTTGTCTTCATCTGTGCTTGTTCGTGTGCATGGGATAGAAGAGCGAGGTCATCTGTGAGATTCAAATCGTGTAGTTGCATCCGACTCGTTCTTTGTATTTTGTGCTTTCCCTCAGATGTCGAGATCTTTATGATCCAGTCGGCCACTAGAAGAAAGGAGGAGAGTAAGCAGCCTTGTCTGACTCCGGTCCTCACTTGGAGTGCGACTGTCAGCCTCTATAGTCCTCACACTCGCTCAGATCTGTTTTCTTTGGTATCTTGATGAGGTGTTCTTTTCCAGTCCGTCGGCAGTTGTTCCTCCTCCTAAATCTTCCTGAATAGAACATGAAGCATGTTTGCAATTACTTCTATGTTTGACTTCAGTTCTTCAGCTAGTATATTTTCAGGTTCTGGTGTTTCCCACTCTTGATTTGTTTGATGGTCATCCTGATTTCTTCGATCGTTGGAGGAGCGACATCTATAAAAAATTCTGTGAGTGTGACTTCGATATCCGGTGGATTCAATGGAGCTGATCTAATCAAGAGTTCCTCAAAATATTCCACCCATCTGTTCCTATGCTCTTGAATCTTGGTGATTGTCTTGCCTTCTTTGTCCTTGAACGGTCTCTTTAGTTTACTATATTTCCTTACCAGGTTCTTCGTCGTGTCATATAGTTGTCTCATATTTCCTTCACTTGAAGCTTTCTCTGCTGTCATAAGCAAAGATTGATAGTGGCTAGCAGTGGAATCCAGGACGCGCGTTTCGTCCTATTTGGGACTCGACAGCTGGATGTACCTGCATCTCAGAGTTGATGTTCACTCTGGGACTCGAACCCAGTACCGTCCGCTTCAAACGCCATCGCGTTATCCCAGAGTGAACATCAACTCTGAAATGCAGGTACATTCAGCTGACGAGTCCCAAATATGACGAAACGCGCGTCCTGGTTTGCACTGTTAGCCACTATCCATCTTTGCTTATAGTGCTTGTAAATTAAGGCAATATCGAGGCAATACGCAGAGTATGCACATATGACAATAAGAGACTGATAAATTTCAGTCCTAAACATCAACGGGAAGATTCAAGTAAAGCAATATCAAGTGAATTTCTCTGCTGTCGTTGCCAGATCTTCCACGTATTTCTGCTTGTCAGGTTTAATGCTTCTCTTCACTTGTTTGTTTGCTTTTGTGTATCCAGATTGTACTTTGGCTTCCTCTACACTTGTTCGCCTGTTGTTGATTGCCGTTTTCCTATTCTTCCTTTCTTGAATATTGTATAGGGTTTCGATGGGGATCCATTCCTGATGATGATGTTTGTTGCGGCCCAGCGCGTGAGATGTTGAATTAATGCTTCTTTGATACCTTTCCAGTCGTCCTCCATCGTAGTTTCTTCTTCTTTCAGTAGATCTTGTAAGGCTGGAAACCTGTTGTTGATAGCTATCTTCAAGTCGCTGAATTTGTTAGTATGTCGTAGGAAGGTTGTGTTGAAACTTTGTACTGCTGTTTGTCCAGTTTTCCAGTGCTTCTTTAGCTTCAGTTTCATCTTGGCCGCAACACGAGGGTGAAATGAAGCTATTTCAGCTCCTCTCCTGGTTCTTACATCTTTCATTGTCCTTCGGAATTTTTTATTGATGCAAATATGATCTGGTTCTTCGTGGTGCAATCCGGTGAACCTCATGTAGCTTTGTGTGTGTGTTTGTGTGGGAATATTGTGTCGTCCATAACCACTTTGGGGAATGCACCTTGTTATAACCTGTCAGTTAAATGCTACTTGTTATACCTGGTCGTCGCTGATTGTTGTGTCGGAAACACTTATCACTTATACTCGGAACGAGGGACCTCCGCAATTCCTACGATGCGAAAGAACACAAAGACTTGTATAAGTGAATATTTATTAACCCCAAAACACGACGATAGTCAAAATTACATTCGTTTATATATTGAATGTACACACAATTCGGTTAATAATTAGGATGAAATCACATATATAAAAAACACTTAGAGTTATAACAAATTACATACTGATTATAGTTCATGTCCATTGAATACAAGAATATCGTATATTATAAAGAATAAAATATCATACGAGAAAACAAAACAACTACTACGCTGAATTATCATCACATTGAATCAAAACAGAAGTAATTTTGAACAAAACTCATATTGAGTAGATCAATCGAATTTCGACTTTTCTTCTAGTCATATCACACCTAGGTTTGCAAATCTCTCCCCATTTGCGTTTCTCTCCCCCAGTCCATGTCGTCCATGATATCCTAATATCCGGTGTTGTCCATTCTGACTTCGGAATTTAGGTCTACATCAGGATAGTGAGATCATTTCTTGGGCTTTACACTATGATTGATTGCAGCTGCTCATAGAGCTGATCTTTATTGTCGTCGTTGCTATCACTAGTGGGTGCATAAAACTATTAAATTCATCGTGATTCGATTCTTCTTTATTTTGAAGAATGCTTTGATTATCCTGGATCCGTGAGATTTCCATCCTATAAGTGCATTCCTCGCTTCTTTGGACAACATTAGAGTAACTCCATGTACGTGTGGAACATTTTCTTCTTCGTGAAGAATGCACCAGCAACTCTCCCGAAAATAACCTTTGCTGTCCACTTTGTGTCCAATAGGTGTCGCTGGTTCCGAGTGCTACAAAGTTGTCCTCATTTCCGTTGCTATTTTATTGGTCCTTCTGATCTCCCACGTTGTCCGGATGTTCCATGTACCTATACAAATTGTTTCTCTGGTTGCTAGAAGGGGCACCAGCCTGGCGACTTCCGAAGAATCTCAGCTTTCATTGTGAGGCATCATAATTCTTCCTCCAACTCCCAGTACAGAGTTTAAATGGTTTAATTTTTTTCTAGTTGACGTTTTTTAGCAAGATTTATTTCTATGCGATGGTGTTGCCGACCCTATACCTGATTGTCCTCCTTTGTGTGGGTTTGGGACCGGCAGTAACTCTAGAAGAGCTACAGACGGAGTTATTTGAATCATTAGAGCTATGATAAAACTACAATTGATCAGTAGTACAAAAAAGCATGTCTTATTTTATTCAGCCATATTAAATGTATTTCTTATGAATTGTCAAAATGTTATCTCCACAAGGCCTTACTACTGAGGCAAATCACTGATAAAAATATTTTGTAGTCTTACCATTATGTTTTTCCATTTATAGTTTTTCATTCGCTTGTTATTTTGCTTTTAAATATAAATAAATAATTTAGATTTAGATGGAGACGGTTATCTGAATGTCCATGAAATTGAAGCACTTTTACAAAAAGAAGTAGGTATAATTTTCATTCTCGTTTTGAATTCAATAAAAAATATTTTATTTTTATAGTGCATTTTATTTAGAGTATTTAATGTTAAGCTACAAAAGTATTATTATCGGTAGGAGTTTCGTATAGGTACAAGCCCAAAACAACAATGACGAACTTTTAACCAGTTGTTTACCAATTGGAAAATAGCTTTTGTACATGAAGTCAGTGACCCAGTCAGCTACAGCGTAGAACCAGGTACATATATGCATCGGCGCAAGTTGCCATACCTCATTAGCACAATAAGATAAACACCAATATACATAGAAGTAGTTACTTCAATGATAGTAATATGTAGAAGAAAGATTGTGTATAAGGATATAGACAGGAAGAAAGATTTAGAAAGAAAGATATAAAGTAATCTTAATCTCACGATTTAAGGGAAGACAAAAAGTGTATACACCAACGTAAATGAATAGTTTATGGAGAAGAAAATAATATTTTACATAGCTTAAACAGATTTTATGTAATCGATGAGTGTATTGAAATCTACCTAAGATTTTTCGGTTTGTAGATCAAAAACAACTTCATATTAGTTCGTTCGAATGGATACAGAACATTTGTCTTCTCTAACCGTTATGAGGACCCAAAAAGGTTTTACAGATTCTCCAGTCTTCTGTAAAAATGATATTAGGTCGGTTGACCCATGTTGATTTTCGCAGAATGTTTTCTAGTGAAGATCTTATTTCTTCAAAGTATTCACCAATCGGACCGGTACTCAGATTGTTCCTGGTTAGGGTTTAGGAGCAAGGTGTATTTGCGTGTTACATACATTTTGCATTGAGAGAATCGAAAGTTTTGTACATTTAACACTGTCACTTATACTCTCTTATGGAAAAACCTCATTATTCGCTATCAATTTCAATGTTTCGAACATAAGACAATGGTCTTTCTACTTGTCATTTTATGCGTTACATGATAAAAGTCATTCATTTCGAATTTCACCCAAAAACCTAACAATCTGTCTTTCGATTCTGATTGACCTTCCCCATACTATACATTTGTCTTACTATCTAGTCTATTTGTGAAATGTTTACCAAGATGAATATATGCATTTTGAACTGTCAGGATATACCCCATTAACTGGACATGATCATTTATTATTTGATATTATATTCTAAAAACCGAAAACATTACTTAGTGACTGTTCTACTGTCCGTAGTTTAATTTCACATCAAACAAGCGTCTGAGCTCAAAATGAAATATTTCATCCTTAGAACTAAGCAACTATGATTAGCCGGTACTTTACTTGAGTCATTTTCAGTTTCTTTGAGACTAAAATACGGAGTTCAGTCCTGCCTTTTTCATGGACTTCAATGATAGTTGTCGAAAATTGCATGAAAGTTTGGATACTCCTAAGCCCTTTTAAACCAAAGCACGGAGTTTTCTTGGGAAATGACTTCCTATTCTTTGATCTAAAGGGCCTATCCACATGACAGTGGGGTTATATCAGTATTATGGTCATCAGTCACCACAATAGCTTTACACGCGATTCATTCCCCATGGTCTGTTTCCACTGTTGCTTGAAATAAAGATTTCTTAATTCCTTTAAAAACTCTTCGTGCACATCACTGGGGGTCCGCCTTCACCCTCTCACTTTATCAAAAATGCCTTGGATATTTAAAGACAGTATGTTTTCTCTTGAAGCAACTATAAACTCGCAGAATATTTTTAAGAAATCAGATTCTCTGTACTATCCCAACTCAAGGAGTTGGGATCCTAAACACCATGCGACTGTGTGGCTTGAGACGGTCTCAGGCACGGCTGGGAACAGAATTCAAGGCCAGTTCGGCTACATAGTTCGCTTTTGTATTCCTCGTCAGCAGTGGTATGCATGTTTTAACTGACTTCAATCTATCTTGATTGTGTTATTACTCTATTTCTTATAGTGCTTACTGTTCTTATTTTCTTGTTCGTTGGTTGTATTGTTATCTCTCTTCTGATTCTTCACAGTAGTTTCATTTCTTTCTTAATATGCTTGATTCAGTTACTACCTAGTAAAAGAAAAATAATATTCAATTGTCGGCATGAGCAAAATTTTCGATTTAACGATTCCGGAGGTGATACATGACCAAAGGTCACCAGGTTTTTCAAGTATTAAGCAGTTAATTGACATTAAGCTAGTCATCCAGGGTAATGCTTCAGTATGTGTTTGGAAAATGTTCATTTTGTGTGATCAATATGACCTGTGAATATACTTACAGATGTACATTAATTTAACTAAAAGAAAAAGTTCATGCTTGACACATTTCCAAATATGTCGCTACTAGAGAAGACAGTTCAGAACCCCGACGAACGAAGGGTCTTCAGAAAGGTTGACAGTAGGATTTTTGGAGTTCTGTTGATATATATTCCTTTTTCATTCGGTGTCCGTGAACAAAGTTATCTCTGGCAATGTGAATGTACTTATTGGTGAGTGTTTTAATTTTGGGTTATTGTCTATTAACTTTGTGGAAAGCTCATTCTATATAGGTTTTCGTTGAATTTTAGCCAATTCATCATCAGTTGTGCCCTCCGTTTATATTCGTCTTACAATTGAAAATAGAGAATCCATTAATTTTCTCTGGGGTGCACGTACATCCAGTTGATGAGTCCCAAACAGGACGAGACGCGCATCATGAATTTGCTGTGGCGTTCTCAAGAATATTCAGATTTTCTTAGAAGGGCTAAGATCTCTTTGGGAACGTCTTAGTAATCGCACTTTAGTGCTGTTAATTGTAATTAAATTCTTATCGTCCAGTCATCACAAGCAGATGTATATATCCTATACAATAGTAACTTGTTTTCAAAATGTTTAGCCACATTTGTTTCTTTCGTAAGATAATTTATTTCAATATTAACCAGCATTACATAAAAGTACAAATGAGTAAATTTAGTGTCGTATTCTTAGCTCGAAAAGGTTTATAATCCTGAAGACCCAGATTATGACCCATGGGAAGAAAAATATGATCAAGGTAGAATGCGACAAAAATTTATGGAACGATTCGATACAGATGGTGATTACTTTGTTTCTCGTGATGAATTTCTAAGAGGTGTTAATCAACCTTATCCATCATATGACCGTGATTGGATGGTTAGTATTTTTGTATTATATTCATCTAAGTTCTTAATATTAATGGTAATAAATTTCTCTTTACTACATAAAGTGTTCTCAGATACCAATGCTTTTAAACATATTTTTCACTTTATCTTTTTTTGTATGATAATAAGCTTTACATACAATTGTGTGCAATAATTTTCAATACGTCTAAAATAACAGGGGCCATAACGATGTGATTTATAGTTCGATTAAACGTACAAAGATTGAATCTAGTTGACGCTTCGCTACATTTATAAAACTAAATACGTAGCACTATTTGTAAAGTGTTCATCTGATAGTATTAACATGTTTGCGATTCGTGTGCATTTATATACGTATGCAGAGATCAAAAAGTTTGATCACCTCATGAGATCAAAGAATGGAGATTTATGTCAGTCAGTCAGCTGCAACGTAGGACCAGGCACATATATGTATCGGTCTAAGTTGCCATACCGCATTAGGACAACAAGATGGACACTGGATTCATAGGAGTGGTTAATTCAGTGGTGGTAATATATAGAAGAAAGATTGTATATAAGGAGATAGTACAGGAAGATAGAATTAGTTCGTAGAAAGAAAGACATGAAGCGATTTTAATCACTTAGTTTGGGGGAAGACAGAGTGTATGCACCGACACCATTGTGATCGATTCTGAGCCATGTCGTCAAGAGTCTCTAACCATTGGTTACGATAGACACACGGACGCCAACCAGGCAGTCTTCATCTACCAACATGGCTCAGACCAGAAGTTAGTGACTTCAAGCACTGATGCCACGTTTTGGTTCGACCGCCCCTAACTTTCTTCCAATTATCCCTAACACCAGTGAGCATTGCGCGTCGTGGTAATCGGTGTTCAGGCATACGCAATACGTGGCCCAACCATCTCAGTCGATGAAGATTCATAACATCATCAACTGATTGAACAACATTCCCTAATACCCTACATCTAACCTCACTATTACTTACCTGGTGATCCCAGCATTTTCGAGCAATATTTCTAAGGCATCTGTGGTCAAATACTAGTAACATACGAGTATCTTCTACTCTTAAAGGCCATGTTTCGCAGCCGTATAGTAGAACGGAACGAACTGCCGCGCAGTATACTCGTCCCTTAACTGATAGACGGATATCTCGCCTTCGCCATAAGTGACGTGAGTTGGCAAAAGCCAAACGAGCTTTTCGAATCCGTGCTGAGATTTCGTCAGACACCAACCCATTAGGGCTGATCAGACTTCCAAGATAAGTGAAGTTGTCAACGCGTTCGATTACTACACTCCCTATCCTTAGTTCAGGTGTTGACGAAGACCAGTCCTGAAGCAACAACTTGCATTTAGAGAGAGAGAAGCGCATCCCAAACATTCTGGCATTGTTGCTCAGTGCTACCAAAAGACTCTACATTTCACCAGCGTCTTCACCAAACAGGACTATGTCATCTGCGTATTCTAAGTCAATAAGTGGACCTTCTGGTAGGAGATCAATGCCCGAAAATTCAGTCGATGAGAGCGTTATTTCCATCATTAGATTTATGATGAAGTTAAACAAAAGTGGACAGCCTTGACGGACACCACTTGAGGTTGCAAAAGCAGATGACAGTTCGCCATAAGCTTTGCCACCCAACATTTCGAACTAAGTATTGGGATTGCCCCACGGATCCCAACCATGAAGTTTTCGCTTCTCAGTGAGGATGAGAAGACGTCTTTTCATTAAATTTGCAAAACAATACTACACTATGATCTGTCTGTCTTAGCTTTTTTTCAACCTACTACCACTTCAGTTGCCAATATACATTGCATTATGTAGTTGTTGGACGTACATAACACATCTCCCATATACCTCACCTTTATCAACCGATTTGCCATTTTTACCTAGTATACTTTATCTAACTACATGATTACGCTACCAGTGCTTTCCTCATAGATTAGCACCTTTTTATAGAAGCTTTTGATCAGAAAATGTTAGCTTATTCATTTTCTTAGCCTTCAAGCACTATGCTTCATAGCAATGTGTGTTGCATTGTACACTCACCCTTTGATAAGGGGAAAGATATCTCATATATTCCATCTATGTTACAAGTTGGCTAAACTCAAGCTAGCTCTTTGTATCCTTGATGAGATATGTGGTGGTTGGATACATGTAACGAGTTCCCTAACGATCTCAGTCGATGAAGATTTATATCTTCACCGTTAATCTTTTCCTTCTTATCCTTAACCTTACCTCGGTATTACACATTCAATTATTTTAAAATACGCGAAGAGTGTTTCGAAGACGTGTGATCGAATACTAGCAACCTACGGTTGTTCTTGATATTTATAAACCATGTTTCACATCCTCAGAATAATACTATATGAATTGCTACACCATTTTTTCGTCCCTTGGTTATTAGGTCAATATATCGTGTTTATCATAAGTGTAATAACTTGTCAACAGCCAGAGAGATGCTTATCATAAACTTGGAGTTTCATCAGTAATATGTTCATAAAGACTCTGAATCATTTATAAATGACAAGGATATCTAGACCGGTAAAATAACTTTGCTCTCTAGATTCCGAATGGGCAACACAATTTTTGCGTAAAAATTGGCCAAACTACCTCTTGTACAACGAAATAAACATTTAGAACCAACGTTCGGGTTTTTGGAATACATAGTCGGTCATATATTTGACACAACTGAATGTAACTCGATAAAACTACACACAAAACACGAAAGTTTAAATCACATTTTCTTGTTAAATCTATGTTTAATGGCTTGTCGAATTTATGCTATAATGTCAGCTACATTGATTTTCTTGTGTACTAACTATTTTACCCTTGACAAATCACGTATTCGTTAAAATGTTGTCATGAAGTATTATAATCCGTGTTTTTAGCTTACCATTTGATTACAATGTAATACTTGTTTGTTCAACAGTCATTGTAATTCAAGTGCTGTTGTGACGTACGGTGTTCGAAGTCTGATACTGATACACGATGTTTTATGCGCTAACCCCCAACTGACTACTTGAACGAGAAAGTGTATTAGACTACTTAACAAAGGGTACATATACTCATATATATATCATTCTATCCCTAGAAAATTAACCTGTTGACCCCAGTGAAATGTACTTGATTTTTGTGCCACTTCTGATTGCCATCGATTGATTTTGTCCTACCTCCGGTTGGCTCTGCATATCAGGTGCTTCTGCATTTTTTTCTACAATTTGTTAGACTAAATTTATGTTAATAGTTGAATTCACAATCGATATAAGCTAGACCATCATTGAAAACCTGAAAGCACCGGATGAATTGAAGTTAAACATTAACACCGTTGGATGCCGACTTAGTGCTTTAGAGGTTAAGTGTTCGCGCGCAAGACCGAAGGTCATGGGTTTGAGTCCTATGCACTGGATAATGGATGCGTGTTGCTGAGGAGTCTCATACTGGGACGAATCTCCCATCCGGTGCTTCCGGGTTTCCAATGGTGGTCTTGCTTTAATCGATCCCTGATTTTAACTGTTAAAATAAATTTAATCTAACAAATTGCACAAGCACCTGAATTACAACAGTTGTTGGCCGAAGAATTCCAGCTAAAATACTACAATCTCCACAAATTCCCATACTCATAAATTTATTTTCTTTATCTTCCAAACATCTGATCATTCTAACATCAGTCTACGTTTAGCAATGCACCCCTTATTGTTTCTTCCTTACTAGATTTGCATAACACACGATCTTACCACTGTAATGGTGGTCACTATCTTAATCGGTTGATTTCTGTTATTTCTAAACTATATACTGAATCTGAAAGTTGTCCACTTATTATTTATACCAAATATCAGCAAACTTATGAAGACAACCAATTATTTATATTTTTCGTTCAAAATACATACCTAAATTCATTTGTTTGACATACAAAATCATTTGATTTCTAATTCTTTGTATATAAATAACAAAACCATCTAAGGTCGTGAACAATATGCAATTAATTTCTTGCCTATATTTAATTTAAATCACGTTTGTTAGCCTTCATGACTTAGGAATTATGATTTCCCTTTATTTCCATTGTAACACATATTACCTATATAAAAACATATAAAGCATATAACTGTTTAACAGTGTACTGTTTCTTTTTTTTCAGACTGCTCAAGATGAAGAGGATATGTTTGAAACAAATGAAGAGGAATTAAGAAGGTTAGCTAGTGAAGCACAATTAAAAGAACAAAATCAATTGACACATGAACCAGATCGTCAGCAAACAACAACAGAACAGCCAAAGGTACAAAATGTATAGGGTCGTAATTGTTTTTATTCACGTATATTTATGAACTATCGTTTACTGTTGTTTTTCCATTATGAAAGAACTAGGAACTTCTTGACCGGATTATGTTGATTTGTCCTGTAACTTATTTTTATCTGGACAATTTTTAATCTATACTTTATTCGCTTTTTTAATCACATGCAATTAAATACTAAATACCTTTTGAGTTTTACAAACGTAAATTAATTGATTAACTTTTATTTGTTGTTTGCTTCTCCTTCTATCGCTCCATGTTATACTTACGATTTGTTTTTATTTTACTTTATTTCAATCACATATCTACCTCAAGGTTGAAAAAATCAATAAGTACAAAGTTCAGAATTGTTTGTATCTTTGAGTTAGTAATGTTTTTTTTAGTTTTTAACGTTAACAGAAAAGTGAGAGAATTTCTTGACGGTCTACTCACAAAAGCTTAATAAAAATCACCACACCTATTTACTTGGTAAATATTACCAAAATGTATTACTGGTATGTACCTTTCACTGTTTTTTTGACTGCACGTTATTGTGAGAGAATAAAGAAGTGCACTAAGAAGGTATTCCTGCATACCTTCTTTAACAATAGTTGGCAACTAACTAGTCACTGAATAGTAAAAGATGCCATATCTACTTAGTCGGTTTAGAGCTGATCGTATTTTATCGTCCAAGTTGTAGTGTGGCCCCTGGTCCAAGTAACTTTACATCGTGTGGACTGTGTCAGTCAACAACGTAAAACTTGGTACGTAGGCACATCAGTTCGAGTTGCCATACCACATTAGCACACAAATACATTCGTCGATTCAAATCCCATAATGATAGAGGTACTAAAAGTATAGGCAGTAATTGGGAATATTAGGGTTTGAAGATGATATTCAAGGAGTATAATACAGTTAAATAAATTTGGATAGAAAATAAAAAGGGACATGAAGAATTCAGAAGATTAGAATTTGGGAGAACACAATGAGTCGATGCACCTGCGCCATTGCAAACGGTTTTGAGCCACGTCATTCAAGATATCTAACCATCGGTTGCATTCGTCTCGCGGACCCCAACCAGGTAGTCTATGCCTACCAACATGGCTCAGTCCACTTGTGACTTCATGGGTTTGTGCCATGTTCTGGTCTGGCCGCCCCTACCTTCCAACCTACTCCTACACCATAAAACATCGCTCGTCGGTGGTTGGGCACACGTAGCACATGTCCCAGCCACCTCAATTGATGAAGTTTCACTACTTCACCAATTGATTTTCCATCCTCACCTAGTACCCGTTTCTTAATAACTGCATTACTTACTCAGTGGTCCCAGGATATACGAGTAATGCTTCGAAGACACCTATGATCGAATACTAGTAACCTACGAATATCCCCTACTCTTACCGGCCATGTTTCACTGCCATAAAGTAGGACAGAACGAACTGCTGCACAGTAAACCCGTTCTTGGTTGGTAAACAGATATCTCGCCTACGCCACAAATGACGCAAGTTGGCGAAAGCTAGTCGAGCCTTCTGTATCCTTGCTGAGATTTTGTCACACACCAGATTGAATCTAATATTTTAGACACTATATTAATCAAACTTATTCCTCTGTGATTGTCACAAGAGGACTTTTGTCCTTTCTTATAGACTGACACAGTCAGTGATTGAGACCAGTCAGATGGGACTACGTCCAGTTCCCCGATTTTACCTAAGATCTCAGCCAATCTCGCTGCTAATACTGGACCGCCATCCTTAAAAATTTCAGAAGTAAATCTACCAGGGCCTGCTGCTCTCTCACGCTTCAGATTTCTTATAGCTTTTTCAACTTCGTCAATGTTGGAGGACTGTTGTCCTATTTGGCACAGTGTTCGGACGTTTAAAGCTCCTACATGTAGTTTAGAGCGTGGTTTCAGGAGACCGGGTGTAACGTACGCGTACTCGAATCGTTTGTATTAGCAGCACGAGGTAATGAAGGAACGTGAGGAGGATTAGTTGTGGAGATAAGAGTTATTAGATGTAGGAAGGATTTGGTCGTGACCAACTTGGAGATGGAAATCCGTGAGGTAAGGTGAGACACTTTTAGGGTCGACTTTTTCTAACCCTTACTTAATTATGAGAAGGCAGCATCGCTGCAGATGCTGGCTGCCCAAGGGGAACAGCTTACTACTGTCACACGTCTCTACAGTCAGTAATACGACGTCCTATTTAGCTGCTATATCTTTTTGTCTAAACACATTGGAATAAGGTTCTTGAGTTGGTTTGTTAGCAATACTAATTTCAAGATCCTAAGGATTATTTCTGAGGTATTTTCAATATGAGACCATAATCTATTAAGTTTCCGAGGATCTTTTGCGATCGTAATTACATTTGTAGACATTTCTTTTGAATTAACGGAGAGCGGTAACTGTAGAAATTGTTGTTTATGAAACCTAGATTATATAAACTAAGCTCATTGTACAGAATATTTTAATCTTGGGTGACATTTGAAATGGTGAAACAGTAATATCTTACAAACGACCAAAAATTAGCTTTCCAACACTCCCAATTATGTATTAAGTAAAGTGAGAGATACTAATTACGCATACATAAATATTTTACACGAAACTGTCAATTCTAAACAGCTAAGTACATAAAGAGAAATAAAACCCACTTTACACAGTAAACAAAAATAACTGAGCACAGTAAGTATTTTTAGGACACTGATAAATATTTGACATTGTGATAGGCATGGTTTATTTACTTCATTTTTTAAGTAATTAGGCGAAATAGTGAAATGAAGTGAAAAGACATAATTTAACAAAACGTATGAAAATCCGTACGCAGAAAAAAATATAAAGTTTTTTGTCCACATCAAATAATATAATTTTTGGTTAACAAAGTGTAACAAGAATTGTTGTGACAACAAAGTAAAAAAAAACATGAATAAGCTAGACTAGATAAATAAAATGAAAAGAAAGTAATCAATTGATTTGGTTTAATTTAATGAAGGTAAGATAAAATGCACATTCATGACTAATTAAAAAGACAGAAAAGAAAGAAGAACTTTACGATGAACTGCAAAAGTCGAAAGAGAAAAAAGCCAATACACCATCAGTAGAAGTGAAAATTAACAGTTTTTTCTATCTTTATTTTTAATGAAATGCGACCATGATTAAAAACTGAGAATATGTAATGCAATAAGTTCATTAAAAAGAAGAAAGAATTTCTGTGTATTTTTTTTATTGAAACAAAACAATATGAAACCGGTAATTGAATAAATATAAGTAGACACAAACAATTTAATTAGACATTGTTGTATAGATTCAAAGAAAGAAGTAGTAGTTTTATAAGTATAAACGATAAAATATTTATTGTTAACACAACATATTGACTATATTTCATTCAACCTAATTGACTGAATTTTAAGCAAAATAATAAGATATAAATAAATGAGATAACGGGATTTTGAATCCTAAACAACCTATATAATTTTTGTATTCAAGACGCTTGTTGACCAGTTGCAGGAATAGGAGAAGATTGAGTATTACTTGTACCATTATTTAAACTGACTGATGCGTTCGGTACAACATTAGTATTACGTTTTAACTGTTCTTGCATTTTACTCATTAGTTGTTGCATTCTTTGAAGCTAGAGAAAAAATATATATATACCGAAAAATAATTATCAGTGTGCCAAGAATAATAAAAGGTTTTCGAAAGGTTTGATTACTACCGATAAAAAATGAGTAACTATTATGATATAAACGACGAAGCTGTTATGTTATATTATGCAACTTTCTACTATTCAACCTACAAGCACTTCTTACTATAAGAATTGTAGTGAATATTTAAAGTTCTTAAAAAGCAATAAGTGTTAGGGGTTTTAATTTTCTAACTGTTCCCCAGTGTGTGATGAGTGTCAACTTAGATCTGTACATATTCATTACAAGACGTTGCATATTATTTGAGATTGATTATTAACTGAGACTGGTTACACTATGTTTGTTTTATCGGAAATTGAATTATTTTGCAAATGAATAAAATCCAGTAGAATCAATGAAAAAGTTAGTCAACGGCCAAGATATAAACTACAATTGAGTGTATGACATAAATATATAAAACTAATTCTATACATAAAATTCAGTATATAGTAATGAGTTAAAGGCAACAAGATAATTTAATCATTTCAACTATATTATATACGTCCTAATAATTTAATTTAACAGAACATTGGATAAACATAGTCTTATATTAGACCACATTTAGAAAATACCCATAAACCTAAACAATTTTAAGGCTAATATGATCATTGATAATACATTCAAAGCATGTTCTACTGATGAAGATAACTTCTTAAAGTCACAAAAGTGTACGATTTCGAATGAATAAGTCGTGTGACATACAAAAATTTAATTTTATCATTCAGGAAAACAACACACTACACCACAATTACCTAAAATGTTATCAAGTCCATTGAATAACATGTGTAGTAAAAGAGCATAAAATTAACAAACGAAATTCGTTAACCAGATCTGAGTAACTTTTAGAAAGAATAGTCATTTCAATCGTCAATTTTGAAGAGTTTGCATAAATATGATCTATCTAGACAGAAAAAACATTGAAATCCTCAAAGGATTTACTTTGTGTGTATTCTGAAACAGACAACTTCAGCACAACGAGATCAAATGAAAAATAATATATGCTTACGGAGTTGGAACATTGGTACTAGGGTAATAAGACTAATAACCGTAAAAAATCATGTATCAAAATACAAAGTATGAAATAATACTGTAACTAAGGATCTGGTTGAAGATAAGAAAAAAATGGGACTGAAATATTGTGGTAGATTTCAGGTTTTCACCAAACGTTTCTAATCGTTAATAGCGATCATCGCTCTCACTCCAACCGGGTAGTCAATCACTATCAACAAGCGTCAGGCATTCAATGACTATGAGAATTGATTTTACTATTTCAGTTTAGTTCCGACTAGCTTTCTTCCAAACAACTCCTGTCAGTCATCACCACTGGTGGTTAGGAATTCGAGAACAGCCACGTCGCAGTACGAGTTAGCACTAATAAATTAATAATTTAAAATTTTTGCCGTTTATATTACAATGATTCGGTATGTTTCAGTCCCATTTTGCTTACTCTGATATAGGCATTGAGATGGTACTTGTGTCCATGACACAGCAGAAGTCACTCAAGATACAACAGGTAATTATGTGCCTATATTTTGGAATGTAGTAAAGTTTATGATCATAAACTGAACTAAAATAAAGACGCTTCAGGAAACACTGAGTAATTCAAGCTGATGTAAATATTAAAAAAATGATATAGTTGATACGAAAAAAAGCAACGCCAACAATTTAGCACACAAACTCCACGACAATTAATGTCACATACATTCAGAATACTATACGGTGAATATATCTTAAAAGTTGTTTCTTTAGATAAAGGCGGACGTAAATAAATGAATAATGTATGACAAAAATATTGCGGATTAGCAAGACCATAAGCTCACAAAATTCGGATATATTTGTATGAAATAATTCAGATCGCATATTATGGGAACTGTAAACGTAAGGAGTCACATTATTATGTTGCATAT